AGGACATTATATGTGTGTAAGTGTTGTATATGGACATGAGATGTGTGTAAGTGTTGTATATGGACATTATATGTGAGTCAGTATTGTTAAGGGACATCATATTTCTGTTATTTGAAAAGTTTGAGAAAAATGTTTTTCCGAGAGAATAGGTTACAAGATAGAATATTAAAACATGTTTGACTGAACTACAGTTTCTCCATGTCAGCATTACAAGGGTCTGTGAACATGAACAACTCTCCCGGCAAGAATGCAGTATACCGGACACCTTCTGCCATTTTGGCTTGCCCCCGACTCAACCGCGGTGTAAAGGGCGATATTTTGGGCAATAACTCTCCTTTTGAAATGATATAAGTGACAGTCCAACCTTTCACTTCCAGTCTGGTTCTCGGATGAATGCACGCTGCGACAACTAGTAACATGTAGAGACAGAGCCAAGCTAAAGCGTTACCCTGTTGCACTTCATTGAAAACGGTCGTTTATAACTGAATGTTGTTAACTATCCCATATTTTGTAGTGATAATTAGTTTAGAATATCAACACTTGTTAAATCTTCAACGAAAAGACAATTTTTCATAATGGAAGATAGCTGAGAAATCGCCATGAAAAACGGTATATTGCCCTGGTATTTTCTACGTCAGAAAACAGTGAAGCATTCTGTCAGTCTGAGCTAACATATATCGATGAAATAATGCAAACTTATTTATGCAAACAATTCAAAGCATTTAAGTATTCTTCACAATTAGTTCCATACTACCATGGACTTCAATGTAATAAATTAGGCGATACGCCTTACATTTGCAGCACACAGACATCATTGACAGTCTTTTACTTTTACCTTTATATCAAAACTTCCTCTTATATCTGATTTATAATTTTTTTTACATGTTTTAGAAATATGCCAAATGAAAATCTACCATGCATCTATCAAGTTATCAGTTACTCAGTTGCTATATGTACGTACCAGTCGTCATACTTTGAAATAAAAGAATTACCCATATTTTCCTGCCCCTTATGAAATGTCTCCCACCATTAACTGCTTTGAGTCATGACAATTTATTGATCCATCATTTCTTACAAAGTTCTAATACTCATGCTCTAAAAATAGTAGTATTACAGAGATTTGTCCCAACAAACAACCAATCATACTGACTACCGGTATCCCACAAGATGTGTATGATACATAAATAGATGCAAATCATAGTAAGATCTTCTTGTTTTAGTAATATACATAAGATTCTTGTCTCCATACATAACACATCAAACTGTTAGCCGTTTTTGGATATCTTTCTTAGTGATGGCCCTGTTGGATTTTGATGTTAATGATTTTTTTCACCGAAATTTTACTTTAAAGATCATATCTTGTAAGGTTCTTGAGAGAAACTTGTGCAAGTTTACATGAAGTTAGTCAGACGTATGAACCTCATTTTGTTCTTGGTTGCATGCTTAAAGTAACACCGCTTGGTGGTAATATTTGATTTTAGGCAAAAATATGACATTTCAAGTATAAATACTGAATGAAGCACTCAGACAATATATACCATTAACCCACGTTCAAATGCTTTGCATTGGCACCACAGCAATAGCCAGTCTTGTCACAAATGTCTTCTGCATTATGTATACCGGTACTACCCTTGCAGATCAGGGTTAGAATGGGTCTTCAGCAACCGATGCTTGTCTTAAGAGGCGATTATCGGGATCGGGTGACTTGACTTGACTTGGTACTTCATTTCCAAGTTGCCAAATGCTACCATACCTTCCTTTTGACGGCATTGTTAAAAGCAAACCATTTGAGGATTCGAGCAGGGACTAGGTCGGAACACTTAACACTTGGGTTAATTCTGGCACGCGCCATTTCGTAGCGGGTTAAGAACTCACTGGGACACTTGTGGTGATGTCTCACAAGTGTTTCCTTATGTTTGACAGCGTTGGTACAAGCAAACCATGTGCGGGTTCGAACACGGACAGCGTCTGAGATGGGTTTAGAACATCCCGGGACGTTCTGGGACATGTCAGTCTCGCAAGCGTTTCCTTACTTTTGATGGTGTTGGTACAAACAAACCATTTGGGGATTCGAATATGAAGTTATTATTTCCATCGTTTCGTGCGATCGCGTGTAATGTAAGTCAAATGACATCTCGGCTTTCGTCGCCTTGAATTCTCGGCTCGGACACAACGTTTAATGCAAAAATATATGCATGAAAAATCTTTGTCACAGCTCGTAACCTAGCACGATACATTCGCGAAGTTCCATATTTTTAATATATATCGTGATTTCCTGCTTAAAACGTTTAGAATAACACGATTTAACAAAAAATCTTTCGCTAACTTCTGAAATTTATCAAACAAGAGCTTTGTATCACAGCTTGATTTGGCTGCCTGAGGTCACGTGCTCAAAATTGACCAATCACGAAACTTGTAGCAGATTTCGGCAAGAAAGCGTCATTAGAAACAAATTTTAATCCAATGAAATCGCTTGTTATAACTACGGGGAAAAAACAGGCGATGTTACGAAAGCGCGATTACGAAATGAATGACCGCCGTGTTGTGACAGCAACTACATGTGTGTGACAGTTTAGCCTTAAATTTGATTGCCCACTAATTAAGAATATAAACTTCACTTGTGGTTCTCTTTTATTGCATGCGCTTCTAAGATCAAAGGATGTATAGTGTGAAAGTTAACTAGTAGAACAATCGTATTTCCGGGACCTGCCGCGGATGTTTTCAAACAGATTATTAGAACTCCATTCAGCGATAAACCGTTGATTATGCAATGAGAAGCGTTATGTGCAAATAAACAACGAACAACAATACAATCATGTCTGTGTAAAACTCTCAGTATTAAAAGTGTACATAAATTTTGGGAGCCATGCGTTACCGCGCGTAATAACCGAAGTAGCGCTTTATCGAAGAGCGCAATAGCGAGCGATCACTGAATATGCAAATTGCCTGAAAAATAGGACTGGATGTAGACAGATGAATGAGACTGAAATGAATCAGACTCCTTAATATAATCTCCTCATCTTAATTACGATCTATTTTGATATTACGAAGGTCAAATTAACTCATGTAAGTAATTAAATGTTTCCACAAAGAATTGATTGGTTCTTCAAACATGAAAGATTACTAGAGTCCTTTTTTATGTTTCTTATCTTTATTGACATAACATGCAGTTCTGCAACAGATAATGACTCTTAAAAATGAATGCATGTGTAATCTAATACTAGTATACATGTACAAGTATACCAAGATATCAAATAAAACAATAACAGTCATCATGCAATGCAGATATCTGTTGGTGTGAAGAGAAAAAAGAATAACATTAATAATTTGTTTACGTGGGAATTTGAATCATCAGTCTCCAATATGGAAACACATAAAAAGCAAAGCCTGATGAAAATTTAGAATGAACTTTATCTGTGTTACAATCATCTGCTGATTGTCAAGGCAAACTGGATGTAGACACTGCAATGTTAATACAATCATAATTATAGAGATTGAACATTACCCGGTAGTATGGATGTATTGTTTTAATTTATAGGATGAAAAGATTCAGTTGGTATAAGTACCCTTGAATATGTATTTAAACTTATATATAGGGTCTTCTGTGTCTGAATGTTTTCTTATAAATTTCTAATTTTTAAAATTTAAAAAAGACCACAAAAATATAGATTTTTATTTATCATATTAAAAGATAATTATGGTAGTATTTGGAACCAGCCAACACAAATCTTTTTATAAAATATGCACTAATTAACCCTTAAATATCAGTGATAGATTTAAGTGATTTCCATTTCTTTATTTTGAACATTATAGTAAGATATCTAGTTGATGACTGAATTGTTCAGTGCCTGTTTCTTTAACAATTTCTTGAGAACATTTCTCACTTCTCTCAGTTATATCCTGATCAATACTCACATGTGTCTCTCTCTAAATTCACAACATTTAGGCTACTGGCAACTTTATGTTGCATAATACCTTCACATTTCGCATACCGCATCATCTAGCCGTTGTACTACAATGCATGCATATGATGTAGCCTGCTTGGTGACACTACAACATAGATATGGGTACGTGTACAATGAAAATCTACTTCATTTGTGATATACAAACATCAAGGGCATCACTTTCAGTACCGATTGCAAAACGTCAACAAAGCGACCTTGAATGAACAATCAGCTGACCTCACCACCTTGCTTTGAACGGCTATCAAGTGGTTAACTATACAATATAATCAGTCGTGGTCATCCCTGATGTATCATTGAATCATTGAACATTCCCGGACATTGCAATATATAGATCATTGTTTAGGCGAAAAGATGTACTATTTATACACCAGCATGACTGTTGCAGATAGAGGTGAAGGCTATCTGTGAAGGAAAGATAAATTGAAAATGATCGCCCATTAAATGCTTTCATAAGTAAATGAAATCTTTATTTACAAAAGTAGATACAAAATACAACGTGTTCGCTGAAATCTGGCTCTGATGGATGTCACTGATGAAATTGTCGCACGCCATTATGGAACTTCTATTTCTGATGTTGATGTCCAATTTTCGATGTTTATGCATCGCTTTGATATTCAATTTCAAGGTTTAATCATATTAAACCATACAAACACAAGCAGGGTAATTATTTCTGCATATTTTGAGATTTATCGCCCTATTTTTCAAATAGTGATGCTGTAATAGGTGGCTTTATTAGTAGCATCAAACAAACATGGCAGATAGGTGTCCGGTATAATGCGTGTGTACCAGCTTCCCTTTCATGTTCTCATGGACCAGAGGTTCAAGTGAGCTGACGTCATGGTGTGTTGTCTGTCCAAGATTTTAAACTGCTACATTGATACATTGATAATTATCATTTTTCTCATTACTGCCCTCTGCATGCATCAACACAATGTTGTAACTTATCCTGCATTACTCATTAATGCATTTACTGCTTACCTTTGACAGAAGTGAAGGTGATTGGTCCTGCTGAAGAATTAAAAGGTGCTGTTCAGTTCAGAAGCAGGCAGTCTCGTAGGCCTCAACAATCTCGTAGGCCTCAACAATCTCATAGGCCTCAGCAATCTTGTAGGCCTCAACAATCTCGTAGGCCTTAGCAATCTCGTAGGCCTCAGCAATCTCATAGGCCTCAGCAATCTCATAGCTCTCAGCAATCTCGTGGGCCTCAACAATCTCGTAGGCCTCAGCAATCTCATAGGCCTCAGCAATCTCGTAGGCCTCAGGAATCTCGTAGGCCTCAGCAATCTCGTAGGCCTCAACAATCGCGTAGGTTTCAACAATCTCGTAGGTCTCAACAATCTCGTAGGTCTCAACAATCTTGTAGGCCCCTGCAATCTCGTAGGCCTCAACAATCTCGTAGGTCTCAACAATCTTGTAGGTCTCAGCAATCTCATAGGCCTCAACAATCTCGTAGGTCTCAACAATCTCGTAGGCCTCAGCAATCTCATAGGCCTCAGCAATCTCGTAGGTCTCAACAATCTCGTAGGTCTCAGCAATCTCATAGGCCTCAGCAATCTCATAGGCCTCAGCAATCTCGTAGGCCTCAGCAATCTCATAGGCCTCAGCAATCTTGTAGGCCTCAACAATCTCGTAGGCCTCTGCAATCTCATAGGCCTCAGCAATCTCATAGGCCTTAGCAATCTTGTAGGCCTCAACAATCTCGTAGGCCTTAGCAATCTCGTAGGCCTTAGCAATCTCATAGGCCTTAGCAATCTCGTAGGCCTCAGCAATCTCGTAAGCCTCAACAATCCCGAATCTCATAGGCCTCAGCAATCTCATAGGCCTTAGCAATCTCGTAGGCCTCAACAATCTCATAGGCCTTAGCAATCTCGTAGGCCTTAGCAATGTCATAGGCCTGAAGGATGATAGCTGGCAACCATAAGGAAACAACATTTCGGCTTACTTCTGTCATGCACGTTTCTTAAACAGTGATAAACAACTGTTTCCGTGTATTATGCATAGTCTTGTAGCGGTTGATTAAAACTCAGTAGTGTTCATCCTTGTCTTCAACTCCCATGATGGAAGTTAATGGTGGGATAGTGAAAGAATGGGTTTTCCTGGCAACTGGTTTTAAGCTATAAAATCCCGGCATAACCCAAGGTAGACCGCTTCGTGCATACCCCGCTCCAAGCATTCACGAGTGATGTCGAGAGCATGTCTGCCCTGGATTGGCGTCTGCTAGCACATTCCGACAACCAAGCAGTGCAGACTCAGTGGATCCACCAGGGTGAAAAACCTGAACGTCCGTTTCAGCAGAGAGTGTGAGTGAGTGGTCCCCTGATCTGAGTTGGGAGTTTCGAAGGCACGCCAGTCAGTGTGTTGTCACTAGTATGAGCACCTCCAACTCTAGGTTGCTGATGCTGATGCGGACCCCAACCCTGCATCTATGAATAGGTGGGACGTTTGGGATAGCTTTGTTCAGGAGACACCTCCCAAGACTTTTAAGGGGCCATGGGTGGCCCAGTCGTCTAAGGCACAGCGATTCGCTGTGCAGAGTTGCATCACTTGGGCACGCCAGAAACCTATGATTGTGGGTTCGAATCCCGGTTCGCCCCGATTATGTTTCTAGGTTTGTCAGCACCATACCCGTGCTTGTGGGTTTCACCGAAGTGGTCTGAGACCTGCATGACTTTGGGCTAAGCTGACACACCGTGATATAACTGGAATACTGTTAAAAGCGGCGTTAAACCCAACTTACTCACTCCTAAGACTTTCGACTCTGCCCTCCACCAACTGTGGTGAGTCTTGAGATGGGCCGGTACAACAATAGATACAGACGGTTCCAGTCACCTGATGTAAGGAGCCAGGAACTGTTGAATTTAGTGTAATTGCAACCATCCCGATTGTCAAGTCCTGAGCTGACTCAAACCAAATGTTCCTCAGGTGCAGATAGACGCCTAATAGCTTGGTAAAGCAGGTTAAAAAACATGTGGCCACTAAAATGCTGAATGGTAGGACCACCGACTGGTAGTAGATACCATTGAACTTGAACCTGAGGAACTATCACTTGCTGAGGTGGAGAGGCACACGCAGGTAAGCATCCTGCAAGTTGAGACTGATCAGGGAGTTGTAAGCATTGATGCCGGCCCTGAGTAGGTTATGAGACAAAAGTACGCTTGGGGCCGAGGAAAATGGGAGAGTAAAACCCGGTGTTAACTCTAGGGTCTGCACAACCTCTGTGGCGTTTTTCTCCATCAAGGCCTGTATGGGGGTCCCCAACAAATGATGTTGTAAAGCCACGTACGGCTCTGGTGCCACTGTCAGTGGAGGGAATTACCTCAGGCTGAGGCGAAATTTGTACCTTATGATGTTGAGAGTGTTTGCCATACCAATCCAATTCCTCAGTCCTAGTCTCCCAAATACTGGTGTGTTGACTATTGGGCCAACTGGAGGTGGGAGATCCCATTCGTGATTGTCCACTTGGTCAATGATTCTTCCTCTGGTACCCGCTCCTACCCTGGGAACTCCCCCTACGGGATAAATATAGGAGCCTTGTCCTTTGCCACAAAAGAATGCTGGTCGGTGGCAGCTTGTCCTTGAGGGATCAGCCCTTGGGTCGATAGTTCCCTGACTTTGGTGCAAGTTGGCCAAGGTTCTGGGATACATGTTCCAGAGCCTTAAGTGCTGTCTCGGTGGTAATCTCAGCTCAAGAGACCCAAGGTCAATTTGCCTGAAATGGCTGTCAGGGATCTTAATGGTTCTCAGCTTGAACAAGACTGCCATCCTCATCCAAGTGGTGAGCATGGTCTGCTACCCCAGAGGCATGTAAGGGAAAATCATCCCTTCTTAATCTCAGCACCTTAAGAGCTGGTGAGAGGGTAAGTCGAGAAAAATCCTCATCCAGCACGCTAACCTGTGGCATTGACGTAGGGTGCGACCAGATCATGTCCCTTTTGTGGACACCTGAGCCAGTGGAAGGCACTACCCCTAACAGACGGTCAGCCATCTTGCTTGGGTCTGCGCAAGGCCTAGGTTCGTACCACAATGCCCGGGATTGTCTAGCGACTCAGCTAATGACACCTCCGAGGAGTCCCAGTGGACGGGAGAGTGGCTCCTGGAGTGCCGCTGGGACTTTGATGCCTGGGAAGATTGTCTAGAAGCAGTGCTGAGACTTGATGAGAGACGATGCATTAAGGAGTAATGCAGGAAAAGTTACAAAATCTAGTAAAATCTAAATATTATTATTATTTGTATGCCGGTACTGAGATATGCAGAACAATTGAAAATAAATGTCTACTATGTCTATTTGTCTATTGATATAAAAATCGCCACTAAACTGGACTGAAGGGAGTTAAAACATATTGAATTCCTCAAAGAAAAAAATAAAGAGAATGATACCATATGCTCAAATATGTACATGGCGTGTATATTTCATTTGTTGTTGCCTTCCACAATCACATAGCCCTGTTTATTTACCTATCCTCTATCTTTGGTATAGCCTAGGAAACCTATGGGCTAGTGAAACTGAAAGTTTGAGTCCCTAACATCTGCTGTTATGATTCTGATCTAGATTCTAAGACATGACTGCCACAGCAACCTAATTGAAACTGTCCTTTGTGTCCGATTATTCAACCAGACGTCACTTTTAGCAATATATATGCAATATCACTGCAAATAGCATCACACAGTTTGCACGTGAAATCACACCCAGGCCTTTGGCTTGATCAGCAATCACGTTCACCACTAGGCTACCCCACTGCATACTGTTGTTGCCATGGCAATCATGGACCTTTTCGCAGTGTTATTATAGATGTGCAAATTAATGTACAAGTAAAGTCAATGGCTGTGCAGACACTGCTGTGTCTTCAGTTTCAGCTTTTGGGCTTGTAGTGAGTACAAACTGATTTAATTTGACTAGTAGAAGTTTTTGTAGACTCTGTCATCGGACTAGTAGCTGCTGACATGATCTTAATGATCAGAAAGGTGCAGGTGAGCTACATGCTTTGTGGTGCAGGTGTCCTACATGACATTTGGTGCAGGTGAGCTACATGCCTTGTGGTGCAGGTGAGCTACATGCCTTGTGGTGCAGGTGTGCTACATGCCTTGTGGTGCAGGTGAGCTACATGCCTTGTGGTGCAGGTGAGCTACATGCCTCGTGGTGCAGGTGAGCTACATGCCTCGTGGTGCAGGTGTGCTACATGCCTTGTGGTGCAGGTGAGCTACATGCCTTGTGGTGCAGGTGAGCTACATGCTTTGTGGTGCAGGTGTGCTACATGCCTTGTGGTGCAGGTGAGCTACATGCCTAGTGGTGCAGGTGAGCTACATGCCTTGTGGTGCAGGTGTGCTACATGCCTTGTGGTGCAGGTGAGCTTCATGCCTTGTGGTGCAGGTGAGCTTCATGCCTTGTGGTGCTGTATAAACTAACAATCAGTGTGTTTGATAGTGTGCCACACACCACCATAGACACCATTCATCATTGGCACTCACAGTTGGGTTGTGTTCAGTAATGTACAGTCCTACATAAGGTGTTTCTGACAGGGACTGAAAACAAATTAAATATCCACTAATTCATGACTACAGCAGCATTATCCATCATGTCAGTGCACTAAACTTTAAATATCATCAATCAATTCCGATGTAAGATTTTGATTGTATAAAAAATTGTAATAAAATGAAAAAGACATTGATTTACTTTACCTTTCTTTTGGTGTCCACACTAGGCCAGGTGAGACATGCAGTCTTCATCATTGATGACATCTTCTAGAGGCAAGGGAATTAACTGACTGTAAAAGTCACCACCCTTTTCCACCCTTGCCGAACCAGGCTTGATTTTCTGGATTTTACTCTTACATCACAATCTATATTTTAATAAAATTGGTCATATCTTACGAAGTGTATCAGATCATGTGAGCACATTGATTCATAGACTTGTTATATATAATTCCAAAATCGCAGGACTTTTATAGTCAGTTATTTCCCTTGTCTCAGGAAGATGCATTGATGAGGTGCCCACCTCACAAGACACCCACACACTCACCCACACACCCACACACTTACCCACACACACACCCATACACTCACCCATACACCCACACACACATCCACACACTCACCCACTCACTCATGCACAAACTCACAAACTCACACGCACACTCACCCCCACCCCACCCCCACCCACACACTCACACACTCACTCACCCACACACTCACCCATCCACACACTCTCCCACACACCCAGCCACACACTCACCCACCCACCCACACTCACCCACACACTCACCCACCCACACTCACCCACACACCCACCCACACACCCATCAACACACTCTCCCACACACACACCTACCCACACACACACCCACCCACTCACTCACCCACACACTCACTCACCCACACACTCACCCACACATCCACACACTCACCCACACACACACCCATACACTCACCCATACACCCACACACACATCCACACACTCACCCACTCACTCACGCACAAACTCACAAACTCACACACACACTCACACACACCCCACCCCCACCCACACACTCACACACTCACCCATCCACACACTCTCCCACACACCCAGCCACACACTCACCCACCCACCCACACTCACCCACACACTCACCCACCCACACTCACCCACACACCCACCCACACACCCATCAACACACTCTCCCACACACACACCTACCCACACACACACCCACCCACTCACCCACCCACACACTCACCTACACACTCTCACACGTTTACAACTGACGCACCCTAATCACTCACCAACAAGGCAGTACCCACAATGCCATTGTTTGGCCACTAT